TTCCTACACCAGCCCGGGGAGTACATCCATCGCTTCAGGTACAGGATGTTAGGGAGGACATTTTTGCCTCTGCCAGAAGACCATAATTTTGATCGCAATTAATGGTGCCTTTGTGTGTGTGGTTCTTTCTTACGCCTGGGTGGATTGTCTTGATATTTAATTGGTATCTGGGTAGGTATCGGCAAAATCATGGGCAACCTAGCGGCTTGTTATGGTACTGCAGGGGAATTTCTGGGTATTTTTTATTTGAAAATGGCACGGTTACCAAATTGGTGTGGTAGATAGCTATTGGCATGACAAGGAAGTTAGAGAAGTAACTTATTTAATACAATGGGGGGGGACATTTTCCTTCGGATACCAAAAATAACATTTTTTTTTTTTTTTTTTTCGCAAATTCAACAAAGACAATACAAGACAAGGTGGTGAGGTACTCTAGCTATAGCTAATTTTAGCCTCACCACCAAACATAGAATACAATTACAATACATAACAAAAAACAGAGAACAGCAAGTTAGCAAGTGGGTGGGATGGGTCGTTAAATAGTACAAAGAAATGTTTAGTAGGCTATATAATAAATCAATCAAGTACAAACCGTTTGGTGTCAACAATATAAGTTTGAGTGGTTAGCAAGATATTACAGTTTGTATCATAATATAAATCAGGTAATCCTCTAAGTAAAATAATCACATAACAATTGTTCAGACATATTGAAAACATCAAAATCAAAGCCTACCACATTCTGGAGATTGCTGAGTAGGGTGACTCTTTGTTGATTATATAAAGGGCAGTGTAAAAGAAAATGTATGACACTCTCACAACGAGACCCGCAGATACAAGCAGCACTAGGGGCTAAATTTCTTAAGAATAAGCTGTGGTTAAGACTACAGGTCCCGATGCGGAGACGCGTGAGTAATGCGCAGGTGTACCTGGGGCCGATGCTAAAATGTCGGTAAAAAGGGGAACGTACTGACTTTACTAAGTACTTCTTATACAATGAAAGATTCAGAGATCGAACAGCTACATCAAGACCATTCCAGTGATGCGTAGCATATGGAATGAAAGACCGCTACCAAAAAATACTAAATACCGCTACTAAAAATAACATTGTGTAGGCCGATTTTAACTGGGAGTAACTTCTTGCCTTATCCAGTATTCAATATCTTTTAATCGACGTGTCTAACAGACCTTGTCCACCCCTCCGCAGCTCCCTGGCGTCTGAGCGCGCGCTGCTGCAGAACCCGCAGGCGTACGACCTCGGCCTGGACCCGGAGAATTTCGAGGACGAAGACGCCATGCAGGAGCTGATCCGAGACATGGAGACCAACTTCCACCTGGTCATGATCGCCGAGTTCATGGACGAGTCCCTGGTGCTCCTGAAGCGGCAGATGTGCTGGACTCTGGACGACATCGTCTACTTCGAGCCCGGCTTCCAGGCCAAGTCCGACGTCCCCGACCATCCTACCACCGACACTCTCCACGCACAGCTGCGCAGGTGGAACAACGTGGACGTCATCCTGTACCAGCACTTCAGCAAGGTCCTGTGGAAGAAAATCCACGCCTTGGGTCCCGCGTTCCGCGAGGAGGTGGAGGAGTTCCGCAGGAAGAACGCCGTGGTGCGCGGCTACTGTCTCCACCGGGAGAGGGACGCCAGGCGCCGGCGGCATCGCGAGGGTGGCCCCGACGACGGTTACACGCCGCCCGTAGATAGCCAGCTGTGTGAGAAGATCGACACTCCTGTGTCCGAGTACAGTAATCTACTCAGAAGTAGACCCGACCACTACCTGAGAAATGAGCTGTAGTAGAAAAGCAGACATGCCGTTTTGGAATATTAGTTTAGTGCTGCTTGAAAATTAATATTAGTGCGGACATTTTTTGTCTCCACCATTGGTGCACATGCCTTTGTTTGTGTGTCTCTTTCTCGAAAATATGCATAACATAACAAACATGCAAATATAACATTGTCTCAAATATGGCAACCAAAACGACTGATGAATTGGGTCAGGACATATTTTAAAGAAAACTAAGGAGGCTGTCATGACAGGTTTGAAATACTTTATTAGTGCAATTATTTACTAATAGATTTATTGTGAGGTGATAACAAATGGTCAAGAGCAACAAGATATAAAGCTTTAAGTCGCATCACAGTGGTATTATCATGTCAAATTTCAAACAAATCCATCAAAAGGATCGTGCGTCAAACGTCACAACGTGCGAACACACAAACACAACTGTGACAAGAAATCCGAGATTCCAAACCTCCGAGAAGCTAAGTATACAATGCATAATGCTCACAACTGCTGACAATTTCAGACATCACATTAACAGTTAGCAATATGTTACCAGTAATGCTACTAACATGCCTTAAAATCAAAACAAAATACATACAATACATACTATAAATCCATATTTTTGTTTGGCTTTTCTGTCACATGTAAAGTATATACAGGTAATGAGAAATTTCGCTTTGAAATGACTACAAAGAACAGTAAAAGAAAATCAATACAGAGCAAGCAAATATATCATCTTACAATGTTTCCTGTCATACTATTTTAACAAGGAAAAACTTCAGCCTTGTATCAAGGCATCGTAGTAAGAAATCGTACATGTTTCCTAGGATACCTGCCCCTGGCAACAATACTGACGTCAAAATGACGTCATGTAGAGACGTCATGCATATTCATCTTGTATCGTCATCTTGAATTTTTGAAGTTAGCGTAGTGGCCTCTTTAATGTGCTCGAAGCGTGGCTCTGTCCAAACTCGGGACCACACGGCACAAGTAACTCTCACTACTCTAAAATTACATACTTTGATACGACTCGCTCACTCATTCTGCAGTATAGTGTCAGTTCTCGTTATGTCACGAGCCAGGGTCATGTGGCCTGGTTGCTCTCCGTACAGGCTACTCCTTGAAAAAGAGGAGCTCGACTGGTGCCCTATTCACAGTTATAAGTTGTTGTGAGATTGTACTGACCCGGATATGTTCTATGGTTCATATTGTGAGATTGCGAATACAAGCTACTTCTCGAAACGGAGCGAGTCGTTTCGGTTTGACTGGCGTCCTCAGCACCACAGTAAGGTGTCGTGATGAGCTGGTATTGACCGGAATCCGATTCATGATTGAAATGCGCATGTTGTTGATACAGTTCGTTTGCTGTTGCTATTCCTCCATCTATCACAATATTTTCCATGCTATCAGCAGGTTGTACAGACATGGCTTGTCGTGAGTTCGTGTTTACTGAAGCACTTGTAGCCTGTTGCCGTGGGTTGAATAGAGGTGACGGAAACGGTCGTGCAGAGGTGTCTTGGTTCTCATGGACCCCCTCGACATCTTCAGAATGCTCTGGACCATCGTCGGCATCGGGGACAGGAGGAGGCGCTGCAGAAGCGTAGGGGTGATCATTCTCGTACAGAGCATTGTCCTCAGTCGCGTTGTTGTCATCGCTGTGTACTGGTAGTGGAGGGGGCGCTGCAGAAGCGCGAAGTTGGCCATCGACATCCTCATATAGATGATCGTTCTCTGCAGCATCGTCGTCCATTTGACAATGAATCTGCACTTGTGTAGTGTGCACTGCAGGAAGGTGTACAGTTCCTGTGGTTGACTGACTCTCTTGCAGAAGCAAACGTGGGAGAAATGGGTGGTTCTGGCAGGATACCACCGCTACTGAACCGGGCACGATGGGAGCAGGGATACGGACAGTCGCAGCCTGGTCCCCGGTGTGCCATATTGCAGTACCGGCTTGAGGGGCTTGGGGGCGAGACATAGCACGATGCTTTCTCCAGCAAAATATGGCAACAGGAAGAAAAAGCATAAGCATGACGGCTAAGTTAACAGGTACAATCACTGATAAGGCGTTATGTCCACGTTCATTGTTTGTTTGTAAAGTCAAGTTTGTAGGAAAGGGACAAGTGTTGGTATGGTTGTCGTTCAAGTTCTCCACGGCGGGCATTTTCGTCTGGTGTTGTTCTTCCTCCTTGGGTGGTGGCTTCACACACAGTAGTACATCATACTTGATTTTGATATGACCCCTGTGTGCTACAAACGTGTGTAGACCAGAGTCTCTAGCACGAAACCTTCTAATAATGCCTTTCCCCAATCTGTCAAGTCTTAATCTTCCAGTTGGAGTATCCAAATAATAGTCATACATGGGAGATCTCATGAAAGGCATATTTATTGTGATGCTATTGTTTTCAACTACGTGAATCATACGAGGGCGTACACCAAAGTAGCTATGAAATTTTTTGAGAAACGTCGTTTTTTCAACGAAAGATCGGTTATGTATTGTGTTGATTGTGTAAAAGGACACTTCTAAATTGTACCCCGGGTACGACGTGTTCTTTCGCGTTGCCAGTTCATCGGAACACCTCAAAGGGTTGCCTTGTAAGTCGTAAGAAGTTGAAGGGTGTATCGTTTTTATATCTGTCGGTATTTGGCTGATGTTGTTGACTCGAATCATAACCCAAAGGAGCTGTTTGCTAGGAATCAACTTTATGGCCTGCGTTGGAAAAACGGACAGGCGGTTTCCAGAAAGATCTAGATATTCCAAATTTGTCAGGCCATAAAACGCCCTGTCTGATATGACAGAAATGAAGTTATTATTGAGATAAAGATCCAACAACGCCGAAAGAGCAGAAAATGTGAACTGGCGAAGGGCAGAAATGTAATTTTTGTTGAGATTGAGATGCACTAATTCATCTAATCCTTGAAACGTTTGCTTCGAAATGTTGTTCACTTCATTGTTGTCGATGTACAGATAGCGTATCTTTGGTGACGAATTGAAAGAACCCAGGTCGGTTATTTTGTTATCTGATAATTTTACGACATAAGCATCTCTGATCTTATCCATTGGCACACATAATAAGTTACGCCCAGTGTAATCAACTGTTTTCCCAGTAGTAATTGTTAACAAAGTAAACAGGAAAAATAATGTCAGAGATCCCATTTTGAGTCGTAACTTTCCTGTGGAAAGAAAAAATGAACAGAGAATTAACCCCGATCCTGCACATTTGGGACCTCATTGTAGATACCAGATTCGAACCCGGGTCATAAAGCGCAGCTTTTAAAACCCTAAAGCGTCGGTCACAACCCGCTGTACGTGCTTTTTGTCCGTACGTATTTGGGGAGGCCACGTCTGCTACGTTTTTTTTCTAAAAACGTCGGGTGACCGGCCGAGGGAGTACGTCACTCCCACGGTTGCGCAAGGTGTAAGTACGTTTTTGCACGTAGACAGCACGCAGATGCACGTACGGCGGGTTGTGACCGACGCTTAACCTAACGCACGGAACATCACGGTGTGGATGGACCGTGCTGATAGCCGTTCTGCGATATGGCATCGATCGTTTCAAAGGGCGACGGCCTTTTACCAGACGGAAATTGGTCTCGGCGGCACCCAGGCTAATACCTCTCGTGCGTGGGCACCGTATATTTTCTCGCAATATTAGGCCGCTTGTTAAAATAATTACGTTATAATAGCTTTGCAGTGAGTATTTGGTTTCAACATACACATGTATTTGTAGGATTAGATTAATTAAGTAACTGTAATTTAGCGTCATCTTTCGACAGCTTTTGATGTAGTGTAAGCAATGAAATACGTATTTCATCTCACCTGACAAATGGAAGGTTAAGACGTCGACAGAAACTTCTCTCAGAGCGTCGGTGTTTCTATGTCCGAGTTTGTGGTACTGCGGCAGCGAATCCGGAACTTCAGAGCGTCGGTGTTTGTATGTACGAGTTTGTGGTATACGGCGGCAGTGAATCCGGAATCTCAGAGCGTCGGTGTTTGTTTGTCCGAGTTTGTGGCACGGGGGTAGTGAATCCGGAATCTCAGAGCGTTGTTGTTTGTATGTCAGAGTTTGTGGTAACGCAGCAGTGAATCCGGAATCTCAGAGCGTTGTTCTTTGTATGTCAGAGTTTGTGGTAACGCAGCAGTGAATCCGGAATCTCAGAGCGTTGTTCTTTGTATGTCCGAGTTTGTGGTACCACAGCAGTGAATCAGGAATCTCAGAGCGTTGTTCTTTGTATGTCAGAGTTTGTGGTAACGCAGCAGTGAATCAGGAATCTCAGAGCGTTGTTCTTTGTATGTCAGAGTTTGTGGTATACGGCGGCAGTGAATCAGGAATCTCAGAGCGTTGTTCTTTGTATGTCAGAGTTTGTAGTAACGCAGCAGTGAATCCGGAATCTCAGAGCGACGGTGTGTTTGTATGTCCGAGTTTGTGGTATACGGCGGCAGTGTATCTCCTGGAGCGTTTGTTGGGGAATCTATCTGCGGCACAGTGGGTCTGACAGAAACTATACGTTTTATGATCAACACTCGATTTACATCTGTCGGAGAACTGCGTCATACTGCGCCTACGCCACTTCCTGACCAATAACCGTTTCTGATTAGTGACCCAAATACATAGATACATTAGACATAATTACATGTACATTATACTAGTATATAGACACAGATGTAATTGTCTAATGTATCTATGTATTTGGTTCACTAGTCAGAAAAGGCTATTGGTCAGGAAGTGTCGTCCGTTACTTGAATATGCAAGACTTGTTCAGCTATTTTTCTTTACTACCCAGTACACATAATTGTAAAATAAATTGTCTGGTGCATTGATTAATATAGCAAACAACATAAACACAAGCGTAGTTGGCGTAAAAGTCTAATGCATTTATGTATTTAGTATAAAGTAGAGTGGAATCATTCCTCAAGCTAAACGACATTTATCAAAGCACAGTCGTCCCTCCATGAAAATTGGGGGTACTGTTGAAGGCTTGTCTGTCTGTCTGTCTGTGTATCTGTCTGTCTCCGTGTCTTACTGAGGGACGACTGAGGTGCGATAGATGGTTAGCTTGAGGTATGAATCCATTTTCTATAGCCTGGTAACCAGACCGCCGTGAGCTCAGCGCTATCCCTTCGGCGCCGAGAGCGTTTGGGGCCGCCAACCAGGCCTCTATTACCGCGCGTTCGGGGGGGGGGGGTACGGGTAGGTTTCTTCGCTAACAACTTTGGGTTGGCGGCAACTCGCCTTTCCTTGGTGAAGGCAGGGGCCGAAAAATTACCGCCAAACCGACCAAAGGTTTGGTACCCAGGCTAATTTTCTACTGCATTTATGTATTTGGGTCCGATTGGTAAGAAATGCTCATTCATCAGGAATCGTCGTACATTATTCAAATATTCAAAATTGCGCCAATTAATGTTTTTCAACGTATTACATTTCCTTGCAAAACAAATTAATGTAGTTATTACTTTAATATAAAAAAATGCAATTTGCTTTATATTGCAAAAATTGAATTGTCTGATGCAGTATTTTGGTCCTTGAAACAGGCACGTTTAGAAACAGAGACAAACTGTGTGTTGCAGAATATGGTCTATACCAAAAGGAGATAGAGTTCGGAGATCTCATACCTCCGTGAGAGATCTAGAGCTTTTGAAAATGTCTCGTTTTTGGGATGTCCTGAAGTCAAATTTAGGTAAGCCCATTTCTTGCGTTAGAAAGTAAGACATCGCTTCAGAATAATAATATAGGTTAACTGCAACAATAAATACTTATATCCTCATCCTCATAGGTCCACATTTATAATCCTCATAAGGTACATGTACATCACCAGCATCGTCCTTGGTACTGATTGGTTATAAGGCCCATCATACGGCCTTGTCCATGGTGCTGATTGGGCATTAAATCCATCAGGCAGCCTTGTCGGTAGTGCTGATTGGCTATCAGGCCAATCACATGGTCTTGTCCATCGTGCTGATTGGGTATTAAATCCATCAGGCAGCCTTGTCTGTAGAGCTGATTGGCTATCAGGCCAATCATATGGTCTTGTCCATCGTGCTGATTGGGTATTAAATTAATCAGGTAACCTTGTCGGTAGTGCTGATTGGCTATTACAGTATTAGGTCCATCACACAGTCTTGTCAATGGTGCTGATTGGCTATCTTCTCTGAAATGACCCTGTGTACGTGCGTGGAAGTAGCATGATACGCTGTTTTTGTCATCCTCATGGTAGTCTGGCTACTTTATTACAAATTAATTTGTGTTGTCTGGTTTAGCCATCAGGACCGAGTGTAAAAACAATGTAACATTGTTTTATTGAACATAGAAACATGACCAAAACCGTACCTAACCGCGGAAGACGTATATCCCTTCCATGGAGGTAAAATACAGAATAAAGACGAGAACACTCTAAGGTTGTAACAAAGTTTACGTGTAAGGGAAGGTATAAATAAATTCAAACAAAACACATACAAAAATAGGGCACCCACAAGTGGTCAATGACCTTTGGGGACACGTGGGAGTGCGTGTGCAATCCGACTATGTATCTGTGTCTTTACAGTCGGTATAACCGCGCCCTTCGGCGTAACACACCAGCTTCACAGGCACGCGCGCCATGTTTCGAGACTATGGACGATACCACACAATTGTAACACACCTGGCTGTTGACGAAGGTGTGTTACAGTACCAGAAAACAAAGCTAAAATGCCAACATTCTAATGTTTCATCAGGACTAGAGTAAATAGCTAACCAAATATAAAATCCCAAACAAATTCAACAAAAGGATTTGTGAGTACACAATCACAACTGTACGACAATCCCCTCTAGGAGGAGGAGTTTCTACATAAAATCATACATAAATCAAGAGAACAGAGGTACAGATTGGGTAGCCTGTGAAACCCAAGCTCGGGGGGCTCCCTGCATAGTCCGCCACTACTAGGGAGCCGGCAAAAAGCGATCGCGAGGTTCAGTCAGGCTACAGATTGGGATATTCAACTAATACTAAGCATGGAATATAATGCAATTCATGCGTCAAGAATGAACATGTCTACTACAAGTGCAAACTACTGCCACGGCCAAAACGGAAATTCTGCTTGCTTTGCCCTGAAACGTTCTATCACATTTGCCTTGTCAGTGAATTTGCTATTCTTCGTCTCAATCCTGCGGGTCTTGAGCCACTTGCCGTCTTCTTTGTCGTCTGTTGTAGTAGTACATCAACACGCCTCCCACACCGATGATGCCTGCAGCACAGCCTACACAAACCAGTGCGAGGTTGAGCGGCGTGTCGTACCATGAACCGATAGATTTAGCAGTCTCCCCTCCTGCAAAAGAATGATACGATTTGTACTTCTGACAATTGTGGGATAAAAACAAGAGGCCACAAATAATGTATCAACATGCACTTGGGCGCAAGAAAGTGCACACTTAGTAACTCATACAGCAAATGAAGAGATTAAATGATGAATACGGTCACCTGTACCTGCTAGTCCTGTCTGGTTAGTGGTGTGCTGAGAAACGGTTGTTCTTGGAAGAGTTGACCGTTGTGCCATGTGATTGGTAGTGTACTGAGAAACAGTTGTTCCTGGAAGAGTTGACCGTTGTGTTGTATGACTGGTAGTGTACTGATAACCAGTTGTCTCTGGAAGATCTGTAGTGTACGGAGGACCAGTTGTCGTGGGTATCTCAGTAGTTTGCTGAGCAGCATCTGGAATATGAAGAATCATGCCTCTTTTCAACCGACGCCACACAGTCGACAAAGAGTCGCGCGTATTTTTCGCATAAGATCGACCCTGTAACATTGAGCGACGCTCGGGCGATCGCTTGGACCTTACTTCGGACAAAAAAAGGGAATAGGGGATAGTTTATACTCTCCAAGCAGAGGTAGGGTCGCTCGGTATTTTGGCAGTATTTTCGCGTTTGTAATACGTCTTTCTACTTTTACGGTTTTTCTCAGAGAAAGACCCCTTAAGGGGAGGAAGACCAGAGAAAAACCGAAAAAGTAGAAAGACGTATTAAAAACGCGAAAATACTGCCAAAATACCGAGCGACCCTACCTCTGCTTGGAGAGTAGATAGTTTAGAGGACTGATACCACCATTACGGGTGTACAGATAGTGCGAAAAGAAGCGAAAAGTATACATTAGTTTTTTAGAACTCTGCGAAACTACAAACGAATGTTGGCACCCAGCATTTGACAGTGACTTTGCAAACTGTCGTCAGTAGCCGTTGTCATAAAGTTGGTGTACGTACCTAACTGACAGACGAACCCCGGCACTGTCGCGTTGCACTGAACATCATTCCATTTGGCGTTGTCCTGTCGGATCATGGCACAGTTTTCTCTTCCGTAGGAATTGTTCGGTTCACCGTCCTTCCAGTTGGAATAGCCGGCCGACGCCAAAGTACCGCCGTCCTGAAATACCCAGTCACCTTCGGTGGCGATGTCAGTTAAGCCGATCCAGCGTCCCCAACCCGCGGTCATGGAATCGTAGATAAAGGCGTCGGTCTCGTTGTCCCTCGGCATGGCTAACCTTGCCCCGTCCTCCGCACAACTCTCCATAGCCTGAACTTGTGTCCCCGCAATACTAAAGTCTTTGTAGCAAACTCCATTGAATTCGGTGTACCCTGATATTCGGCACTCTGTGAATTGAAGAAAAGAAGAATTGAAGATAAGAAGTAGTATCATTTAAAACTATCATGAAAGTTCATCTGTGTTGGAAGTTACATGTTTATAGTTAAAACTTTTGGTCCAGGTGAGAGAACTTTTCTGTTTTAACATACATTTACATTACGTTACATCAAAATGTCTGCGAAGAAATGTAACATACCTCCACTGACGGGTACAGCCAAGAAGAGGATTGAAAGGCAGACTGGTGACAGTAGGGTGTCCATAGCTGCTGCCCGTGTTGCAGTAGTGAGGACGTTAGCTAGTAAGCACTGACACTGAAGCAAAAATTTAGTAAACATCACAGTTAATACCAACGTCATTGGTAATACAAGTAGCCTAGCCTGATTCAAAGGCGTGAGAAATGAGGTTACATAGGGTCATAGTTGGTGATTAGGAAGGAGCCACTTGGGTTTGTGCTAACGTCAGCCGTACGTGCTGCTAGACTAGTTTCCAAGCCGATCCTGTTGTGGATACAAGATAGTATCAAATTGGCAGTATCGAAAAAAAGGTACCGGTGCAAAAGAAAGCCCAATGAATATCACAAAAAGACGTCAAAAAATAAGACGAAGCCCAAACCTCTGCTCTGTGAGTGCTGTTGGTGTTGGCCTTGACATTCCACACAAATTACAGCAGGTAAGAAGTTTCCAAACTCTATTACAGTCCCAACAACGGGACCTTGTGTACTCTAAGTGGATGCTTTGACCACAGAGGGGACTTGGTGAAAAAATGTAAGAGCAATGTAAAAGCCACGATGAGAAAATATAATTACATCTTACAAGTCGGTAGATTAAAAAAAACTGAGCCCCTTTGAATTCAAAACAATGATAAGAATGGAATATGTTTGGTTTAGGTGGTGTTGATCTGGTAGTGGAGCATTACTTATTACATTAAAGGCATCCAATGCAATTTTCAGGATGACAAAACAAAAAATATTCTGGTTGAGGAAATCTGTCGGATATTGACCTTTACTACCATTTCCCAACAAATTTACATCATAATTTCATACTTATAGCATTTGATATAGCCTTTAAACAAGTCACGTGAGGCGTCTCTTTATTTTTTGGGTTCCAACCATCAATTTTCTGGTTCTTCTTGTAATGTTGAATCAATCCAATCTCATAGCATACTGACATATTTGAGGCAAAAATGTGATTTCGTGTTGTAGGCTGGATCTAGCCTACAACACGAAATCACATTTTTGCCTCAAATATGTCAGTATGCTATGAGATTGGATTGATTCAACATTAAAAGAAGAACCAGAAAATTGGCTTTAAAAAATCCAGTTTTGCTGCCAAGAAATCGCACTGTAACGTTTAAAGCTGTACGGATAGGTGAGATATATCCTAACGATAACGCACAACTACGTCGGATGCATAAAAACTACGCTCACTTTGTAATACTGCTAGAATACTAGATTGAAACAACAAAAGTCTGTACTAGACAATATCACATGAACTAGAAAGGCAGACTTTTGCTCAAGAGCAAATACAGCATTTTTCACTCCATCTCCCTCCCCGTTCCAAAATGGACTATGTTTCAACGTTCTTTTATGTTTGTAATTTGCAATTAGCCTCCGGGGATGAATTTGCAATGAACTTCTTATATGTTCATATCCAGCCTTTGGAGAAATGGAACATCCCAAAATTACCATCATTAACAATATCACCCCCACTCTGCAATGAAATTTTCTTATTTTGACCCTATAAGATAGCTATTTGACTGACATGAAAGTGATAGAAGTTTGGGCAGTAGGTAGTGCATAATGGGAATGACTACTACAATGTAGTACTAGTAACTAGAACCCATTAATAGTACAGGCTAGGACCTGGTATTTTACAACATCGTTCTAATGATAAAATCCTATACTCAATAAAAGGCTTTGTAGTAATGAATTATGTAGCAGAACGGGTCAAAAGTATTAGAAATGCAAGTAATGTTTACGTTTTATGTTTATGTTTATTAGGCACTCCATTAGTAAAAAAACAACAGTTCCTTAATTCTCTTCCTGAAGTCCTGTACATTGAAATTACACAACAATTTCACCGTCATTACTTAATAACTGCAATATATACAGCACTACAATATAACAACAACTCAATAATTACTTAAAAGCTACAATATATACAACACATACACTACATAGATAACACAATTTAATACCGATTGCTAATAAATACTAAACCTGTCACGACTACTCGTTGCAGATTTGGCAACTGACAAAGCTGTATGTAAAAAGAACTATAGCAGAATTGTAAGCATTTTAACGCCGATACAATGCTCCAAATAGCCATGTTTCATCACGACGTGAATACCACAAATCAAATTTCAAACAAGACCAGAAGGATCGTGATTTGTACGTGCTAACCCACAAACACAACTGTAAAACAGTACTCCATTGGGAGGAAGAGCGTCTACATAAAACATGCATGAATCAAGAAAATTGAAGTACAGATTGACATGATCAACCAATTAACAAATCCAAAAATAGATAAAATTCAATGTGGAGTACAGAATGAATACAGGATGTCTATAATGTATATGTGCTACAACTAGTATAAACTACCACACTGTACAACCAAAAGTGAAATATTCTGCTTGCTTTGTCCACGTTCTCAAAGTTACAAACGTTCTATCACATTTGCCTTGTGGGTGAATTTGCTATTCTTCGCCTCCATCCTGCGGATCTTGAGCCACTTGCCGTCTTCTTTGTCGTCTGTTGTAGTAGTACATCAACACGCCCCCCACACCGATGATGCCTGCAGCACAGCCTACACAGACCAGGGCGAGGTTGAGCGGCGTGTTGTACCACGAACCGATAGATTTAGCGGTCTCCCCTCCTGCAAAAGGACGAAGCGGGTTTGTACTTCTGACATTTGGCAGTTGCATTTTATTGCATACAGGTGCATGATGTTCATGCAATCTTATAGTTATACAGCTAATGAAGGAATCAAATGATAGTGAGATAGTGTCTCATACCTGCTAGTCCTGTCGTCTGGTTAGTGGTCTGCTGAGAAACAACGGTTGTTCCTGGAAGAGTTGGCCGTTGTGCCGCCTGACTGGTAGTGTACTGAGAACCAGTTGCTTCTGGAATAGTTGATCGTTGTGTTGTATGACTGGTAGTGTACTGAGAACCAGTTGTTCCTGGAAGCGTTGGCCGTTGTGTTGTCCGACTGGTAGTTGTTCCTGGGAGGGTTGTCCGTTGTGTCGTTTGGTCCGTAGTGTACCGAGGCCCAGTTGTCGTGGGTACCTGAGTAGTTTGCTGAGTTGCATCTGGAATTTAAAAAAAACGGACTCGTCACTCAAACATCATGCCTCTTCTTAACCAACGTCACACAAACTTCGACCATATTTCTAGATCTGAAGTTTGACAGATCTAAAAATTGTAGTATTCAAGCAATAGGCACGAAAAGGAGCGATAAAGTATACACTGAGAGCTGAATTCAAAGCCACAAAAGGACTCCTGTCAGTAACTGTTATCATAAAGTTGATACACGTTATCATATTGAAGCTGGTGTGTTACGCCGAAGGGCGGTTATACCGGCTGTACAGATACAGATACATGTACATATACCTAATACCTAACTGACAGACGAAGCCTGGCGCTGTGGTGCTACACACAGCATCGTTCCATTTGGAGTTCACTTGTCTCATCCTGGCACAGTCCTCCTCCACGTTGGGATCGTTCGCTGCGTTGTTCGGCTCACCGGGGTTCCAGTTGGAATAACCGGCTGACGCTAAAGTACCGCCGTCCTGGAATACCCAGTCACCTTCGTTGGCGGAGTCAGTGAGGCCGATCCAGCGTGCATACCCGGTCATCAAACCGTGGATAAACGCGTTGGTCTCGTTGTCCCTCGGCATGGCTAACATTGCCCCGTCCTCCGCACACCTCTGTACAGCCTCAACGTACGTCGAAGCAACAGCGAAGTCTTTGTAGCAAACTCCATTGAATTCGATGTACCCTGATATTCGGCACTCTGTGAATTGAAGAAAAGAAGAATCTCTGACGTACTGTATGTGTCAATGGGATATTGGTAATAAACCGTTCGACTACATCGTTACAAGTGACTTTATGCAATGTGAGTACACGCACACAACCGGGTGCGATATTCAAAATATCTCGGACGAAAGGTAACAAATAGAAATGAGTAATGACCGAAACGGAAGGACACAAACCAGATACGTATTTGCTTATACTTATATAGAGGTGAAGTGGGTTGGAATAAACTCCCACCCGTTGTAAGAACTGCATCATCTAATAATAGTATACAGTCCTTCAAAACACATGTGTGAGCAGTTGTGTTACCTCTGACTTCCTACCCATACGACCTGGAAAGACCTGGACTGCGATTATGGATTACGATTGTAATAGTGATGTTTATTCCGTCTTGTTTTGTGTATATTGTCTTGTATATATGCACCCAGTGCCACTCCGTAAAGCAGTGAGTAGTGCTACCCTGGTTAAATTTAAGAACACGGAAAATAAGTAAATAAATACCAAATCCCATGCACTCTTGTGTATGCATTTTGCACCATGTATGTTTTAAATGTTTGTAGGTATAGTAGAAATTTGAACGATGTAAACTTTATCTTGTTGATATATCTTGTCTGACCCTTACCTCTTCCATCATGACCTCAATGAATAGCGACTTGCATGCCGATTTGAGCTTGCATGTATAAAGAATGGTTTAAACAAACAAACAAACAAACAAACAAACAAACAAACAAACAAACAAATACCTCCACTGACGGGTGTAGCCAATAGCAGGATTGAAAGGAAGAATGTCGACAGTAGGGCGTCCATAGCTGCTGCTCTGACCCTGAAGTAAACCCTGAGTAATGTTACAGGTAACAGCCTAGCCTGATTCAAGGGTATGAGAAATGAGGTAACGTTATATTTGGTGATTTGGAGTAGCCACAAGGTATTCAAACTCTATTATAGTCCTCAGAAAGACGTCACAATCCCTGCATTGTGTACTAGTTAGACTACAGGAGTGACCTGGGGAAGATATAATTTCGACAGCAATGTCAAGAGCTATGTATTTTCTAACTCTATTATAGTCCCTAAAATGGCGTCGTAATTGAGGCATTGTGTACCTAAGTAGCTACTTTGACTACAGAAGGGACCTCGGGAAGATATGATTTTGTCACGAACGTCAACAGAAGATGTAATTTCGTCAGTGATGTCAACAGGAGGTATAATTTTGTCAGTTTAGCGCTTAGTTGCCACGTCAACCTGGAACCACTGTGTGTCCGTGTACAATAACAACTCCACTGCAAATAGAATTATAAGTAACAAGACGGTTTCTTCGAAAAGGCTGAGCCCCTGTAAAGTAAAAAAAAGACAGCAATGGGAGCTGTTTAAGGCTGTCTTTATTTGGTATTCGTGCATTATTTAGATTTAATGACAATGAAGTTTATTGACAATGAAGTAAATTAAATTTAAATTATTTAATAAGTGGGAATAATGTTCCAACTTGATATATAAGTGATGATACTAAGTATAACGCACAACTAAGTGGGATACAACATTTACTTTGTAAAACAACATATTGAGAGAACAGAGATCTTTCTATACAATTTTATATGAACTAGGAAGGGCAATATTTGATGGGGAGCAAATACAGCATATTTCACTTCATCTCCCTCTCGCATTCGAACATATAGATTGTTCCATGTCAATCTTCTGTACAAATGGACAGTCCCAAAATTACCTTTACTAACAACATCACCCCAATCCGACATGCTTATTTTGACTCTATTAGATGATACAGTACCTGAAAACACTGCTAAATGCTCCAAATAGTCATGTTTCATCCAGAAGTCAATGGCTAACTACACATCAAAAGTAAATTTAAAGAGTCAAGAGTAAAGTCACTATTCTTCGCCTCCATCCTGCGGGTCTTGAGCCACTTGCCGTCTTCTTTGTCGTCTGTTGCCATAGTAGTACATCAACCCGCCTCCCACACCGATGATGCCTGCAGCACAGCCTACACAGACCAGTGCGAGGTTGAGCGGCGTGTTGTACCACGAACCGATAGATTTAGCGGTCTCCCCTCCTGCAAAAGAATGATACGATTTGTACTTCTGACAATTGGAAGTTGCATCTTCTTGCATACAGGTGCGTGATGTTCATGCAACCTTACAAAATACAGCAAATGCAGGAATCTCATGATAAGATGGTGTCACTCATACCGGCTAGTCCTGTCGTCTGGTTAGTGGTCTGCTGAGAAACAACGGTTGTTCCTGGAAGAGTTGGCCGTTGTGCCGCCTGACTGGTAGTGTACTGAGAAACAGTTGTTCCTGGAAGAGTTGGCCGTTGTGTTGTCTGAGTTGTGGTGTTCCGAGAAAAAGTTGTTCCTGGAAGAGCTGATTGTTGTGTCTGCCGTGGAGACGAAGACACCTGTGTGGATGTAGTCTGTGTAGTACGGTCTGTGGTGTGGGTTGGAGAGGTTTCATATCTTGACGTCGTGGGTACCTCAGTAGTTTGCTGATTTGCATCTGGAATTGCAAGAAACCGGAATCGTCATCCTAACATTAATACATAACCCCCCGTCCGAGCTCTGAAGTTGGGAGGACACCCTGGAAATGTTAGCCTGGAGTTCAGCCTTCCTAGCTTTCGGGTCCGCTCCCCAAGATTCGTCCCCAACATCCGCCACCCCGCGAATCTTGTGGAGCGGACCAAAGGTACCAAAGCTGGAAGCAAATACATCCTGTGCCTTTTGTTGAAGGCTTGGTCTTTCTTGAGAAACTTTGTTTTCTTGTTCGAACCAGGGTCACACAGTTTACTAAATCACCCACCTGGTACAACAAGCCGATCATACATGTTGCCGTTTGATGCATAATTCTTCTCCTCGGCAGAACAGATCTTGTTTTTATCTCGGCCGCCTGAAGCGGCCGAGGTATTGTGCTCCAAAATATGTACGTTCGATCGTGTTTTCGACCGTGAAAAAAAACCCAATGAAACCAATTACTCTGCATGTATACTTTACTTTGTGGTGTCGACCTACCGAATGATAGTGTCGTTATTCTGATACAACGAAGTTGCTAAAAAAGAGGAAATGCTGTTTACCACAAAACCATTGTTTTATATCATAGTATGCATTTAATGTTCTAGAATTTCGCTAATAGCTGCTGTAATTGGACCAATAAATCAATGACATAAATTATGTACATTAACCTTCCATATTTGCTTCAGTCGCAAGATGTCGCTTTTGATTGGTGAATAAATCACTGTGACGCAAGTAAATATTCACTTGAAATGAGAAATTACCGCCCAACAAAACGGACCATTAGATTCCCAGTGCTGTATTACTCTTTTGTTCTTGTGGTCAACTTGTTTTCTTTGCTTGAATCGCGTAAAAGACCAAGGAAAATACAATGAAATCGGCAATCGCCGAGCCGCGCCCCGATCTGCCGCCGCCATCTTGGATTTTTTTGGAAAGCTGCAATTTGGCCCAAACCGCTAGAGGGGGCGAATTAAAATGTTTAATATATTCGGTGTGAAGTTTTAGTAGCTCTAGCAGTAGAGGAGAAGTTTGATAATGCAATAAGAAACGGAATAAAAATAAGAATAGAAAATTAAATAGAAATAAAATAAAACAGAAATAAAAAATAAAATAGAAAATAAATAAAAAATAAATAAAAATAAAAAAATGAAATAAAATGAAAATTATTGTAGTGGTTACATATACTTAACGTTATATTGTATTTAGCAATGATCATTTTTCACTAATTCCATTGAAGCAAATGATAATGGAAGCCAACTTATTACCCTGTTTGGTGTTACAGGTATGAACATACTAGGTAATACATTCTTTCCTCTCTAGCAGTTACACAAATCTATGTGGACATCCTCCAAGAACACAAAACTACATGGCCAGCGGCCGAGATAAACTTTTTTCAAAAGTCTTGTTCAAATAGCATTGGTTCAATGTGTTGTGTTGGAACGACAGGCATGTCGGTTCGGCACAGCAAGCTGCTGCACAGAACTGCAGGGTGACGCCATGATGACTGGCTATGTCCACTGGAGCTCCTCCACAGTCAGTCCGGGGGAAGTGGTGAAACGATGATGGTCCCTGGCAAGTCTCTGAAATAGAAAAGAGCGTTTTACCTTATATTACACTAACTTATAATGTTCTCAATTTCATATTCCTACCAAGATGGGCAAAATGCACAACATCATGCACGTCAAGTCGTCTGACCAAGGAGGTTGTATGGTACATCCATCCTCCTTAGCGTGATAGTAAGCTTCTGCACAAAACTCCAAGGTGATATTACGATGGCTGGGTGGACTTGTCAGGGACAACCATCGACGCTAGCCTGGGTGCCAGACTGTTTCCAGAGCAGTCACAGATCCTCGGCTCCAGTGCCAACATGTTCCCAATGAAATTATACAACAACCCCCTAAGTTACAGGTAGGCCCTGGTTCACGTTTTTATGAACGTTTTATATTTTGACACGGAAATTGCAAAACGACTTTTTAACGTCTTTCATCTATCCCTTAACCTACTCACCCCCCCTTTAAGGCAATCAGAAGATCTGACAACCTGTTTTCTACACCCGATTTTCAGTTCTTCTCGTTTCCCTTGATGACATGCCTGGCCATTCTGTAAGATTATCCTCCCATCTTTCCCCTGCATTATACTTTTTCTAGTCCCGATGGCCGCAACTTGTGATCAGGCCACTTCAGTTTTCATTTCTTTACTGTTGTTATGTATGGACCTGTTTTTTTAAACTCCGTTCCGTACTTCATCACCAAGTACCTACAAATATAACAAGAAAGGTGTAAAAAATACACCTAGGCGACGAATTGTATATTATGTAAATTAGGGTATTATCAATTTAATTTATTTTTATTATATGTACGAATTGGAATACTTCACTTCATAAGCTACATGTCCATATATGTGCCTGGTTATCTGCATGTCGGCAATCGACCAATATCGGGTCCCCATTCTTAGCTCGGTGTTTGTTGCTATTGTTTAGATTTAATTCCAATCTTTTATAAATATTTTTAAAGGGATATCTTATGTTTTACAAACATTTCAAACTTGTTCTTAACTTCTTAAGAAATTTCCGTAAATTAGAAAACATTCGAAATATTTTTGAGTCCGCGTACGATATTTCCAATGATTTTTAAAGAAAGGCAACTCGGTTCTACCATTTTTTTAAAATTTTTGTAAATGACCCGTGACGAAGTAATTTGCACATCAACACGAAGTGTTCTGTGAGCCAAAAATAGGAATCGTTGATATATACATGATGAACCCTGCGGCGATCCTGCCATCGGCGAGCACTCGACACGATAGCGGCCAGCCATTGATACTGAAAAACAGTGCCAAACCGTACGCTGCTTTTAATAAATCTCAAACTCTAGTGAAACATCAAATCCTTTCTGTTGTACCATGGTTGTACAGTCCATCCATATTTCTTGAGATAAAAAAAATAGGTACCCATTCACAAAAACGCCTGTAAATTCAAGGATCTTTCTCGCACAGTATTACGTAGATCTATTACACGGCGCCGAAAATACACTCCGTCTTTCCTCTCGTCAAAAACGCCGTCCGTGCAAGTCATGTGTGCTTCCAAATAAGGAAGTCCGCGGAAACCGCTGGCATATTGCCGGTAGCTCGGGCGATCGCGATCTTCGGTCTGCATCGGCGCGTGTGACGTCATGATCGGGCTCATTTGTATGCAGGCGTCTGCCTTTTGACTACATGGACTACAAAGGACGCCGCCGGAGGGCGTAAACCCAGATGCCGCGGGTGAAACTGCACATCAAGTAAATACGAAGTTTGGCTGGTAAAATAAAGAAATTAAAATTAAGATCTCAGTTGATTGCCACTTTCGAATTTTTTGCAAATTATGACATTTTCGAAAACAATGCTACTCAAGTACGTACATTTTTTAAATAATTTCAGAATATTTATAATATTTTCAAAAATATAAACATTGAGAAAATATTAAAGGTATTATTTTAAAAAAACACGCGGTGACTTGGAATGCACTCTATAAGAGCGCACGTACAGCACATGAATCCAGGTAAAATGATCTATCAAAAGTTGTAAGACATAAAAGGACATACTACTTGTGATGAAAGCTCCTTGTATAAAGTCAGTAGGAACAAAGATCACTGGATACCGGTATGGTGATCATTATCTAGTCTACCGAAGCGATCCTTTTCTCCACCGCTGCAAATTTTACATGCCCGGTCAAGCGGCCGTTGACCTTATATAATAGAAAGCAGGACAATATAGTTTACGTGCGCTCTGGACTCTGGATCGATACGCAAAAACCATATGTATATCATATACATTATCATTATGTGCATAACATAGCATGGTCTGTCGCTGTGTGTATATTCTGTAAGGGTAGGAATAGGCTATCAAACCCAAACCTTTTCTCAGGTACGGGATTGTCAGAAAAATGTTTATGAAAGGCGGTATGAACCCCCAATGCATCCTCCTTCGCAGGGCTAAAATCCTCCGGTTCCCGATTTTAGCCCTGCGAAGGAGGATGCCCCAATGCTGCAGATATAGGCCTGGCGTGCTTGTAGGTGCTTGTATTATATCCTGGATGCTGTCCGTGTGCTGGTTCGCAAACAGGCCACGGTCACGAGGTCTGGTTTATAGATGTGTTGTCCGCCACACACGTTTGCGGGGACACCAACATGCATCCAAGGTTGATAAATAAATAAATATAGTGACCACAGGTACACTCGCCAGAAACGTACAGAACGACCTTATAGAGGTAAAGTTGATCCGCGAAGATCAGGCGATAAGTAAGTGTCATCTGTTGTTGTTCTGTCGCGGTGCGTAGATAAGAGCGCTCCTTGGTGACATTCGTTGTTTCCGATTCCGAAAGCAGAAATGTATGTCCAGATACTAATATTTGCTATACACTTGATCTGGCCTGTCGTTCACAATTGACTTTTTCAGTGACTATGTCTTTACATAGCCTCTACCAGACTCACAACGCTGGCTATTTATAGTAGAATATTCGCCAGGGGAGTTTGACCGCCTTGCAGGACCTTGTAGGTTTGACTGGCCTTCGGAGGGAAAGATTTAAGGGGGTCATTTAACTACCTCCTCGCGGCCGGACTCCCTTGGCCAATTCTAATCTTTTTTTTCCCCGATCTTTCTACGATCCGTATTCCCGTAGAAAGGTCTGGTGGAGGCTAGTTTTATATGCCTCAAATCGCCGCGTCACAATGTAACGTTGGATGCACTTTTGTCCGTTTTTGTGGGCACATATTTTTCTTTGTAGCGGTTTTAGGACAAACAGTAAAAGGAAACACAACAGAAGAAGAATAAAGACACACATTATTTTTATAATCTTCCATGGGTATCATCGTTATACTAAATAAATGGAACCCGTCATTTCTTTTCGGCAGCGTTTTGGAATTTGAAAAGGCTTGCGCTGCGGACATGTGCTCATGTTGGTAATGTAAGGGGCTTTACGTTTTCAGGTTTCTGGGAAAGGTTTCTGTTTGTTTACACCGCCGCTACAACAACAAGCTTGACCCCTTTCGCTCCCATCCCATACAGTGACTCTGGCCAGATGGCCGGAGGTTGCCTCGCACAAGTTGTTGTGGTCAGCAGAAATGTAGTTAGATAATCGTATTCATTGTCTTGGCCAATCAGGCGTAATTGTCTTACAATTAGCAATATTTAATCCCTCCCACATATTCCAAAAATGGACAGAGCTGGCAAAACATGTTAATAAGGATGTGTCCTCGTATAAATATCACCGCGACCTACTCGCGGACTCATTACGCACGGAAAAAAAACCCACGTCCATCGGCTCTGTGTGGTTAAGTCAATTTGAAGACCCCCAGCGAAGTGGGCGTTGGCGCCCCTAGCAACACATAGCAACCACCTTTGACCCCAAGTTTCCCAGATTTTCCCCATTGTTCGCTAATTGCCCTCCCTCCACCTAGTGTGAAAACTTCCCTAGAGGGGTGCCGCTGGCCCAGGTGAGATGTTACCTGGCACCCTGCAGGGGTGTGAAGGGCTTTTTGACAGTACTGTCTGGGAAGGGAAGCAGGATGTGTATTACGTGTAACCAAGCAGCTTCCATGTTTGGTGTAACGACTTACAACTTCCAGTCTGTAATGTTCCAGTCTGTAGTATTCATGTTTTGTTGTTCCACAACTAAGTCTGACCCTCAGGAAAGGTGCATAATTGCTTCTAATTGAACTTTTTAAGCTAGAAAACTTCTGTAAACCCATTTTCAAAACACTCAGTAGAATTGGTAATTATGCCAAGCTGCTAACTAAATTTTCCAGTTTCTGAAATAAATAAAAAATTCCATGCCAATTTTTTTCATCTGGTATATTGTTCCTTGTACTTTACATTATAAAAAAAAATGATTATTCTTGTACAGTCATTACTGAATCCAAGGAAAAAGCAAAACAATTTGACCATCAATTCCACAAAACATTAGGCGTGTATGTGTAATAAGACTGGAAATTTTCCCATTTTGCAAGTGACTGGCATACATGATTAATTTTTTCAAGGACATTATACAATTGTTTTGAAAGAGTCGTATTATTCTAAGTAACCTATGCTCAGAAACACTAAGGAATGAAATAGCCTATGCTCAGAAACACTAAGGAATGAAATACGAATACTGCAGCTCACATGATTTGGCATTTTTCTTGTTTCTTGATCAAACAATTCCTCCAAATTTCTTTCAAAAATTGACACAAAACAGACATATCATTCTATACAGCTGCACTGTATATTAATGTGCAAGTAACAAGTCAGGCATATCATTCTATACAATGTATTATCCATGTGCAAGTAACAACAGACATATCATTCTATTCAGTAAATGTTGCACTGTATATACCTTGTATGTGCAAGTAACAAGTTAAGGCCTATCTATACAGTTACACTGTATATCCATTTGCAAGTAACAACTGAGGCCTTATGATCATTCTATGCAGTTGCACTGTATATCCATGTGCAAGTAACAAGTCAGGCGTAACATTCTATACAGGTACACTGTATATCCATTTGCAAGTGAAGTAACAACATAAGGTACATAATATGGAACATTTAGAAGAAATGAATAATTGCAACAGTCTTTACTTTTGCCACTAAATACAAACATTGACCTCATTTCTTAATTTGATTGATATCAAATCTGAACTAGCCAACAAAACTATATCAATCTTTGGTTATATTACCTAGTATAACACATTCAGGAAGGTAAAACAAAGCATTTGAAGACTAGCCCATCTTGGAATACAGTCAGAATTGGCACAAATATTAAACTCTAGACTGGCATTGATGGATTCCTACAGGGTTTTCAAGAACTTGATTGCTATAATGTTTACCCTGTGTACAGCGGCTAGTCCAACTTGTAAACAAATTTAAAGGGATTCAAGCACAACAATCTATTATCTGATGAATTATAATACCTCGGCTTCATAAGTGGAATGCTTCAATCTCTAAATCATTCCAAATGCCTTCATTAGAGACTTTGCCTGTTTCAGACTGTTATACAAAGCTTTGATGTCATCAGGTGCTTCCCTTATATCATGTAATGTAGGAATTGCACAATTATGTTTAAACATATATTCTCGTTCAAATGCCTCGATGTCTTTCTTCAAGTTTGAATACTGCTTGCTTACTTTTGTTTGCAGTATGGCAACAGTCTTATCATATACAGGTTTGATTGCTGTTCTGTTTCGTCCTTCTTTTAGCTTCTTTCTTAGTGCCTCGAATGACTCGATCTCTTGAATGTCTCCGAGAAGCCCACGCAAGTTTCTGGTCCAAGAAGACTGTGACTGCTTCTCTTCCTTGCCTTTCTCGCTGTAGGCACAATTTAAATGAGAAGGCTTAGTAATGTACAAGTACATGTATATAACTTAACTCCACCATATTAAAGTAAAATAAAAGTAAGGCTACTGTGCTTATGCTCATATGATTCTAATTGAATTTACAGAGCGCAGTCTGTCAGCTGCCAGTTGAGGAGCATCTTAATTCTTGTCTGAATTGAGGCTTCAAACCCTTCGTTAGCTAGTTTCCTGCTGGCATTTTTTACACAACATTTTTCAATTACTTCATGTCTTAATCAGGTCAGAGACCCCTGACTTTTTTGTAACGCCCTGCGGTTGCATAGATACTTCCGCATTTGTTGTGTTTTGCTGTGGTATGATTAGCGTTGCATGAGAAATACCACTAAATTGTCTGATTTTTACAGGGCACTATATGGATGGTACTGCATGTGAAACCCATTACAATTGATGGGCACCATAGGACTAGGGAATATGCTTCTGTTACTGATGACATTCTACTCCAAAATCCAGATTATTGATCAAACATGACACTTATACTATTAGATAAAATCTTTGTAACATACCTTGTATGTCCAGATGGCTGGGCCGATGAAAACAGTTGGACTGGGTCTGTCTTGCCCCTCCGGTCTCTTCTAAGGGGGGTATGTTCTGAGCACCTGAAGAGAATAAAAAAACATACAATCAATGAAAATATACAGAACAATTTTGGATTTGTAGGTAAATTACCTTGGCGATGATTATCCTGGCTGAAAAGTTTTGATTGATTACTTGAAATATGGTTTATGGTATGAACAAATAGGACATACCTTGATCGAACAGCACTTGGTCCAGGAGGTGACATGAATGCTGCGGATGGTTGCTTGTCAAAGCTTGTAGTCGGCCCATGTTGCTCTTCACCACTGTAACAGCAATAAATGTACTGTTAATATAATAAGACTTAAATTGTCAGTAGCCTTCCACTTGGAAGTGTCTATCTTTAAATTATGCTTTAAGTGTAAAAGTGGACTGCACACCCCCATGGTACAATAGGATAGTCCCTAAGGTCAGAAATCAGACAGCACATGATATTTGCTTAAAAATTAAGGTCAGCCTAAGTACTACAGACTAACCTGTATACAGTTCTGTCATCTTCGGAGGTGTGGACGGCGTCATCTTCAGAGGTGTGGATGGCGTCATCTTCAGATGTGTGGACGGCGTCATCTTCAGATGTGTGGACGGCGTCATCTTCAGATGTGCGGACGGCGTCATCTTCAGATGTGTGGACCGCGTCATCTTCAGAGGTGTGGACCGCGTCATCTTCAGAGGTGTGGACGTCATCATCTTCAGATGTGTGGACCGCGTCATCTTCAGAGGTGTGGACTGTGAAGACATCCTCTACCTCCCGTACCTGCTGCACCAGCTCTGAGATGTCCTCCTCTTCCTCCCCCTCCATCATGTCATCATAGCTGTCAGCAGTTGCAGTTAGTGTGTCCAAATCTTCTGAACAAGCTTCAAACATTGGGATAAAGTTTGTCCGCTTGATAGCCGTCAGGTTTCTTTCTCCATCAGTCTCATACATGTACACTTTCCGCAGAGGAATGACTGTGTTTTCATCAAGGCACTTTTGCCAGGATTGGCAGAGGTGTTGCTCCACTGTTTTAAGTGAGCTGCTTCTGAAGTGGAGCATCTGAGGACCTGATGGCAGGCTGTCAGGGTGGGTTGATCCGTCGTGGAAGATGACCCCCTCTTCGTGTACTGTCCACCACTCCCCTTTCCCACATTGCAGGTAGTCCGCCAGCCGCTCGCAGTGTGCTTGCCATGCCTTTGGAAACTTGTCGATGATATGAAGTGGAACAATTGTGTCCTCGACACCCGTCTGCTTCACCTTGGCTGCATTGGAGACAATGCTGTCTGGCTGGTATGTTGTCCCCTTGTCACTTCGCAACACATTCTCGCAGTGTGTTCGCACCAGCATGTTGCCGATAACCTGACCAGGACGTCTGGAACAGCCGGTTGTGCGGTGAATCCCTCTCAGTTGATTGAACACTCTTTCCTCAGATTCAGTGTGTGCAGAGCTGAGAGCGACGATCCTGAAGACTGTTGGTGCATGTGTTGTTAAGGTATGGAAGTATATCCCATACAAACAACGAGCCGTCAACTTCTTTGGCTTGGGAATGACTTGCCGCATACACATGGCATGTATGAATGACTGATTGTGTAGACGTAAAATTTCTCGCTGACATCTCTTTTCTGCAGGGAGGTAGCAAAGGCGCTGAATCTCTAGAAGAGAGGTGATCAGTTGTAGGACGAGAGGAGTTGCTTTGCCTTCCAGCGTGTTGGCCAATGCGATGAGTGCAACACGGTAGTCACATCCTCTTTTCAGCTCCTTAGTGCCCAGAGTGGCGTTATAAACTTGCTTTATGTCATTCTTGACATCAGACGAGACATGGAATGGTAGCTCCTCAAAGATGTGCTGAATGTGATGTGAGATGTCATGCAGCGGTTCACATGGCAGGACCTCATACTTCTCTAGGTTGAGGCTCTCTAGAGAAGTTTCTGGGCAATGGAATAGGAGTGCTGGGGGACGCTTGATGCCATGTAGCTCATTTTTCAAGATCATGCAGAGTTCCTTGGCAGGCTTACCCCGGGCTTCGTGTACATCCAGCACACCTCTGGACGAGAGATCTTTGACTAACTCCTCTTTTGACATATTGTCCACCGCTGTCATGCCCTTTACAGACTTCTCCCAGGTGACTTCTCCTTCCTTGAGTAAGCATATTCGCTCTGCCAGTGACATGTGGGGTGCACGATACGTGTGCTCAATATCATCAAACCGAGCTGCATTCACACCGCAAGGGCACGGGAAATGTCCTCCACGTTGCTGGCCTGCCTCGAATTCCCTTGCAGGGAGGTCGCCTTTGAAAAATCGCAGGACATCGCTGTACTCATGCAGTGTTCCATTTATCTCAACAGATACAGTCATGGACATCTGGTGCAGGCACTCGCGCCTTTCTGCCGAATAGCACAGCTGATCGTTGTCACTGCAGCTACACCGTGCCACCATGTATATACATGGCTGTTCCACATGCGACTGGACACAGATCCGCTCTCCATAGAGTTCCAGGTACTCAGCATCGGTCAGATGAATGGCAGGGTCATACACTGTGCTCGTCATGTACACCATATGTCCATGGTTGCTTACCTGGCTTGAATCTTCCCAGATAGTTATGTGTCTTGTGTGTTCTATTCTTTTCAGCTTGTTTCGCATGTTTGTGATGCAGTCATCTTCGTCATATTCGTTCAGTTCCTTGAGTCTTTCCTTGACAAGACTTGCTTCCATCTCATCATACTGTTGTCCATCTCTTGTCCTCATGAACTTCTGCTGCTCTTTCAGGCTCCTGCTCCTGACTTCTGCCAAAGGATGTTTCCTGCCTTCCACGGTGAATCTCTTCACATGCACTTTCCCACTTTGGGCATCAAAAACCATTTTTTCGAACTCTTGTGGAACGATCATTTCGCCGATTGGTATTTCTCCATCTTTTATCATCATCGCAAGGCTTTTCCGCATCTCCTTTGCTGCTCGGGGAGTAGGCATGGGTACATCTCCTGAGTTGGGGATGCGCTGTTTCCTGCGCCGAGGCCTTGGAGTGGTCCGGGTGTTCTGTGATTTGACAGCGGACTGGAAGCGATGTATATTCACACCCTCCTGGACCAACCAATCCTGGATGATCTGTCCACCATTGCTTGCTGGTTTCCCCTGCTTGTTGTGCACACCTTTGTCCTTGGCGTATGCCCTCCAACTGACAACTTTGCCGTCTGGCCAGGATTCGACTTCTTCTTTGATGGCCTCCCAGGACCATGTTCCCCAGAGCACCGCTTTTCCAACCCTCCGCCTCCTCTTGTACTTTCCCGCGGCCTCGTCAGCAGCTCTCTCCCTTGCTCTCTTCTTAGACGACTCGATCGTTTCATACCCCATTGCCAGTCTCCGTTCCTCATATTTCCGGTCCGATTCTCGAGTGCCCTGATGTACTATAACATCCTTGTTTTGTTCCTGCCACTGCTTTTCAATGTTGTGCTTGACATTGGCAGCCACTGTTCTTTGCTGTTTCTGGAGGTTATGTTGGGCGAAAGTTTCCTGAACTTCGGGAACATGTAACAATCCATTTGCCAATGAAGTTCCAAAAAGAGTCAGAAATGTTCTGTTGCCATCTGTGTACCACTCGTTTGCTGCTTTCTTCAGGTCCTTTGGTGGCTGTTTCTGTTGCACTTGGAGCAGAGGGCTTGCTTCAAAGAATGACCTTGTCGGTTTGTCCTTTCCTGCACGCCCATTGAATAAGTCTGCCGTTGCCCGATACGAGACAAAACAAGCCTTACACTGGACTTTCTTTCCATCCCTCTCAGACTGAAGCTGGTGACTTGCTTTCTGTGTTTGTGAGAGTAGTTTCCATGCTTCGGGATTAAACGCCGCGATGTATCTCTTCATGTCATCTCGATGCTGTCCTTCCTTGGCTCTGGCCCATCCCTTGAAGACACTGTCAACCTTGTCGACATACTTGCGGAAGTTACTGTAGCTCACGTCAAAGTCCTTGTGTCCCTCAAACTGTGTTTGAAACTGTGCAAAACGGAACTGCTTGTCCGGACGAAACACAGTACCATCCTCCGTGGTAAAGGACTGTGAGTGACAGTGTATTGCAACTCGGGCAAAGTTGCACGAAATCACTGTCACCATGATTGCTGCAAGCAGCATGAGTACCTGAAATATAGGATACCGCCTTTTAATTTTGATTTACTGGAAATGTAATGTAAAGCTGGACTGAAAGATACCAGTAGCAGTGCTCAATGTGGTTGGGTGTAAGTGTAGATGGGTAGGGGAAATTGTCTGACTGTATCAAATTGAATGTTAAAGTTTAATGACACCAAAATATGACCTTATCTGCATGATTGTAGTCAACATAACTGGTATTACCTGGCTAACAGACACATTCAATATACATGGTTCTTCTGTTTTTGTGTCATATGGTGGTCTTATGGTAATCTCCAAGCAGATCTTTTGTTGGGGGTAAGACTGTTACGTATCATATTGTCCAGTCTGTAACCATTTCCGACCAAAAAACGTGGCCATGTATAAATTAAGCAAACAATCTTCCAACATCAACCTCTGCTTGGAGAGTAGTCTTGTGGAGCATATCAACTCTGTCAACAACTAAGCCACAGCAAGTAAATTTAATGGATAACATCCTCTGCAGACACAAAAAGTAATGTGCGATGGTATAGAATTTAAGAATTCTTGAAGACTTTGAGAGAGAAAATCAATACTGTCTGAAACTGAAAATTAGTGAAATGCCATGCTGCACATGCAAAAAATAATTTGATCATCAGTTTGTTATACTAAAGGGTTGTGTATGCAGGACTAGTATCATAAAGTCTGGTATCATAAAAACAGTCTTCTAATCTAAGTTGTACCCAGATTGAACTTTCAAAGAGTTAACATGAAAGAAAAGATCATCTATTAAATTCTGCAATATATTTATCTATTGGCAGCATGATATTTCCTTTGGTCTTCGATATATGCAGTTACCAATCATCATGAATGCAAAAATCCTTCTCTAAGGCTACACCAATTTAATTTGTTGGTTCTCGGATTTTTTCAGAAAAAATATGAAGTGACAGGGCGAAAAAAAATAAAAATAAAAACAGGTCTAGACATCCTATTATAGGATTAAATGCTACAAAATGAGCCATGAAGTCAACACAAAAGGCTGGGTTAAAATTTAAACATTGAATTTTGAACTTTTAATCAAACCACTGCAATGATAGATGGGAAAACTGTAACAACTAGGAAGAAAAGGACTTTCCTCAACTGTTGGGGGCAAAATATGAGCATTTTTCAGTTGATTCAGGACCAGAATCAAATTCTTTTTTTTTTTTTGCAAATCAGAAAAAACGAAGAGGCGAATCCGAGAACCAACAAATTAAATTGGTGTGGCCTAACTAACACTTATAGCTCAGTATTTTGAGATTATTTGATTATACAAAATATAATAGTTTTCAAGAAATAGAGAACACATTTGTCAACATATATCCTGAATCATCACTAATTTTGGGGCCTGCTAAAAAAAATTGTATTACTGATTAACGGATTGAATCTGTCACGTGTAATAAGTTAAT